TTTTTTTTTGCTCAAAAATTTGCTTGATTAGCATTACAAAACCAAACTGAGTTACTGTGCCAAAAAGAACATTTTTCTTCGCACTGATTTTCTCAAAATTGTGGTTTCTTCAAAACTTCCGTTTTCTAATAATATCCAGCCAGAAATGCCCTTTAGTTTTGAAAATGACCCTCAAAACAAGCTATTCCGACAAATGTCAGCTATAAAACTTAGCCAGTCTTTATCCATAAAAAATGACAAACCATATATTTATAGCAAAAAAATAAGCGTCTTAACAAAACTTTTGGAAAATAAAATTGGTTTTTCAGCATATCTGAAAACACTTGCCTTCTACACTAACATATTCAGATTGAACATCACGAGAGACTGATAAGCCAAGAAAAAAACTCAAAAAAAGGTGTCATGAAGAACTGCTAGAGTCTAATACTTCTAGATATATTTTGACATATCTATAGGCTTCAAACAGCAACTCTTAATCTACCAAAATGCCAACTGTTTTAAACCAAAAGGTCGACTTCACACCCCTTAAAGGTACTTGTGAAATTCACAACTGATTAAACGACTTCAAATGCCACTTTTCTCGTGATCTCTTACCTTTTAAAATGGTCAATTTATAGAAATAAAACTTTGATAATTCCGTACAACTGTTACTTAAGAAAGAAAAAAATTTTTTGAAAGAACTTCGAATTCAGTTTTAAATCTTCTTCCTACACAAAAAGGTTTATGTTAAAAATGCTGCATTACTTATTAAGAATGTAATATAGTAAGCGTCATTTGTAAGGTGAGCAACTAGATTACTAAAGATTTTAAAATAAAAACAGGTTGTCAATATTGGCTTTCTTAACCTTGACTTAAATCTTGTCTACCATATTTTAGTGCTACTTAATCCTGCTACACATTATTTGATCTCATCATTCAACACTCAAATTTCGTTCCTTAACTAAGTTGTTAGAAAATGAGAAATGTTTAGCTGAAGATATGCTTGAATTTTTAGAATCTCTAATTTTGATTTATAACGACAACCAGTTTGAATATATGACCTCAACAACAGTAACCTGTTAAAAAAAATTTTTTTTTTTTGTGCTTTTAGTGTTACTTGTCTAAGAAATGTTAAAGTGCTACTTAAAACTTGTAAAACTTGACTGTTACCTTTAACGAGGTATCAGACGTCTGAGAACAATAATATCGATAAGGTTTATCAAAATCAACAAATCCGTCCTCAGTACCAAAAATTGTCATTTCATTGCGATGGTGTTTAGGCAGTGCATTTGCGTGTCGCTAAAATTGAACACACTTTGCTGACGAGGTTGCAATAGATATTACACTTAAAAATCGAGCCAAAAAATGAAGTTTGCACACATAATACGTATCACTAATTGCTTTGAAGTTTAAGAAGTTTTTTCCTATCATGGCCAATTTAATGATTCGACTATATGGAATAAAAATTTAAATTTGTGCTCATATCCATGCTCATAACATTTGATAGAATAATCACTGAACACATAAACAGTGAAATAAAAAAAAAAAACTTTACTTGAATAATAAGATTCAATCGTCTGTCGACAAGCCTTAAATTGCAAATGTCACTGTATTTAAGCTTCTCCAAAATTTGCAATATACAACGATCTGGAAGGTCAGCAAAATTTTTCAAAACCGCACTACTTCTTGTTTTCTTCTTACAGCTCATCCGTTTCGAATTCTCCAACAATTTTTCAATTGGTATCTGAAAGAACAAATAACAATACTGGTCAAACATAATCACTTTATAGAAGCCATTAATAGCTTTAAAAACTGAAGAACAATTTATAAAATTTTAAATCAAGTATCACACATACAAACGAAGTATTTAGTAAATTCAAATTGAAAGTTGACGCAGGTTGGTGTTTGTTAGGTTTAGGGAACGCCATCGATGCATTAAAGCTGACATATTCGTTTTTTTGTGTTTTCTGTCGTTTTGAAATTGCATCCTTACCGAACTTTGGTAAAATATTCGAATGTTTTAGCAACTTTTTTGCTACCCTGCCTATAAAAGAAAAAAAACAACAACAACAAGAAATATCGTCAAAATTAAAATTTTTTAAATGACAAGCAGTTCACAGCATACACTGTTCCTTGTCCAAATTTTTTTCCAAATAAAATTGTGACCATACACTTACTTGGAGATGAGGAAAATTGGCGAAATTTTTCTGAAAAACTGTACATTTTTTTCTAAGCCTGTTACCAGGTTAATATAACCTAAATTAAGCTAAAAATTATAGAGCTTTTTTGACAATATATAATATATAAGTAGAACAACATAAATTTTTGGCAAGCCGTTATTTGCAAGCCTTAAAAACTGTCACTGGGCAAACGAATTTAGACTATTTGTGACATCTATAAATAGATTAAAAATAAACATTAATAATATATTACTTTTCCTTCTCAACTTTAGCTTCAAAAAAGCGTTTTAAAAAAGACATGCATTCAATTCATTTAGTTCTTTTGAATAAGCTATGTCATGTAATTCTGTTCCACTGACCATCCAAAACCTAAACTGCTTTCTCCATTGCCTAATATTGACCAGGAAAATTGAACTAAGTTTGTTGATAAGACAGTAAATTTGCATTAAATCTGTTGGTTAAGATAAAATTTTAACTTTTTTCTTTTATATCAACAATCGGCAACATACGTAACTGAATGGTTGGTTTAGCGCAAGTTAAAGCTTAGAAAAAGCAGCATACGCCATTTTTTTCCTTAAACATTATATAGCTTGAAGCTTCACCAAAAAAAAGCAGTATTAGTTATAAAAATAGTTATAACAATCAATAAGTAAATGCTTGATTAAAGATAAAATCTATTTTTCTTTTAGTTAAGAATAAGGGTAATTCACCTCCTTTATGAAAAGTTAGTTTGCAGTTTTGATGGTAGCGGGAAAGGGAGGTCACAAAAGAAGGGGAAGGAAATGGGCAGAAAAAAGCAGAGCTAACAGTTTGATTAACGGTTTGAAATGGTCAAAATAGCAACGGAATGGCCACGCTGATGGTATATTAATACCAATTAAATCTAATCACATAATGATAATAATAGGAACAATAATAATAATAATAGGGTATTAGTTATTGGTATTACTGTTATTATAATATCATTGATATAATAATAATAATAATAATAATAATAATAATAATAATGAATAATAATAATAATAATAATAATAATAATAATAATAATATAACTGATACTGCACAAACAATATTTTAACGACAATGACGAAAATAAAAACAAAAATTTAAGCAGTAAAAGCAGAAAAAAAAAATGGAAAAAAAATTTTTTTTTTCTTTCCTTCAACAAATTGTTGACCCCAATTTAGACAGTTATAAATTTGTCAATAAAAACTTATGCAAACATTTTACCATAAATCAATTTGAAATTCTTAAGCCATTGAAAAAAGGTTTTGTAACATTGAAACTGTCCAACAGTAATGTGGTGCCATTAGTCGACAATTCAGCTCCCTTTTTTTAATTTTAGAAAATTTCATTTTTTCTACAATAATTAATTAGTTGTTTTTCACATTTTCTAAAGCAGAAGGTGACAAACCTTTAAATCTTTTCTTCCTAACACTACATTTTTTTTACATTCAAGCATTTTTCCCTTCAAATTCCTTAAATTAAGCAAAAAAAAGAAAAAAAAAACAGGTCAACAGCAACATTAACAACAAAACTGCTAATAATAGGAAACATCTTGAATACAAAAGAAAAAATTTTATTTAGAAAATAAGATGAGATTAGTGTCGATAATATAGAAATAATCCAAGATTACAAATCTAAGTTTATTTATACTGAACAATATTTGCATATCGATTTATACAGTTCATTATGCATTATTAAAATTTTCAAAATCGATTAATAATCGCGCAAAATTTGTTAAATATTGTCCTTATTAATGATTAGACCATTATTTTTTGCACTTAAAGTGTATCTTGAAAACAAAAAAATTTATCAAAAAAGAAACAGAAAAGACCTAATTTTTTTTTTTTTTTTGAACTAATAACTCATTTATTCATCTTTTAATGAAAAAATTATAGATTTAAACTTCCACCGCTGACCATACTAAACATCTGAAGCTGCAAAATACCATCTGATAGGTCGACAATGAAGTAAGGGGAAGGACAAAAGCAAAGGTTATCTGCTCCTTATGTGCCACCCTCACTTTGTTGGTGCGAAACCATTCTGAGGCTACGTAACCGTTGGGAATTGGTCACTTTGCTATGGGAATCTCAAATCAAAATCGTTTACAACAACGTCGGTAAACTGTTGTTTCTCATGACAACAGTAAAGTTTAGAAATTTTAAAAGAAGGAATATAAAGAAATAAAGTCTCCAAATATTTCAAATCATTGGTCTTTTTGCAATAACTGCAGCTGTCCTTCGCTTAACAGTTTTCTTTAGACAGATTAGATTATGTGTTACTCAGTTACCGGTACCACAAAGCCTAACCGTTAGTTTAGTCTTTGAATTTATACAGAATAATAAAAATTGTTCAATACCATCCGACTACATTTAATTGGCAAGCACTTTTTTGCTATTAGAATAATATCTATAATCAGACAGACTGCACACATGTACATTCTTTTCCTTGCAGGAAATATTTTCCAAACTATAACTGAAGTATCAGCAAGACAGCAATATTATTAATTCATTCTCCGTTAAATTTAACTCTGAGCAAACAGAAAAAAAGTTACTGCATCAAAGAAAAACATAACAGAGAAGTTGGCATTATGTATTGTTAAAGTTGAAGTCACAAATTAACTCAGCTAACTGTATAGATGCTTAAGCAAAAATTGATTCTGATAAACATGAAAGATATTGAAAACTGCCATAAATTTTTTCCTTAATGTTTCCAAAGGTATCATCAATAAGCTACCAAAACAATTAATTTACAATAAAAAAGAAAAAAAAAAAAGAAGATAATCATAATAAGAAGGAAAAAAAATTTTAGTGTTGTACACTATGAATTTAGAGATGTGTTGTTAACGATCTCACTGAGCCGTCATCAACAGCGACGGCGACGACGACAACAAAACCATAAAATTTGAGCGTAATTAACGCAACGTTGACAGTTCTCAAGTAGTTCTGTTGTCAATTTTTGATCATCGATTAACCTATTCAACAAAGAATTCCTTTTTCCCTCCTTTATTTGACTAAATATAAACCATTATAGCTTAATGAATAATTGTTTCGTTGAATTAGGTGATAAATGTATTCAGAGCAAAAAGACTTTCACTGAAATGAACTCGACAATTATACGTTCTTTAATTAGAAATTATTAAAAACAATGTCTAAATTAAAACATTAATTGCAATTTTTAAACCATATAAATATGCTTAATTAACAAAAGTTATAAAAAAATTTTTGTTCTCCCGCTGCTTCATTAACAAAGACGAGTTTTTAGAGA